TTGACGTCCGTCTTTATATTTAATAGTGCAGTTATTAATCAATTTGTAACACGGAAATGACATTAACATTACTGTGTGATTTCATATGGAAACACTTACCTACGGCAACATTACTTCTCTATGAACAGATATTAGTACATCCTGATTTATCTTGTTTGCTTAATTCATGTCATTCAATACATTAAGAAAATCTGGCTACATCTCAACAATTCACCTTTCATGTTTCCTAAACAGTTCGAATTTTCTCAAGGGTACGAGTACCATAGCGTAACAAATCTAATAAAATTTAACCCCTTGGAAAGTGCTTCTCTCGCATTAATTCTGGTTGCATATAACAGTCAATTACTATTCTTATTCTATGTGGGACTAATCAAAATGTGCCATTTGATGGACTAAAATGTGTAGTTTGTTAATTTTTATACACATAATTCATTTTAGTGAATAATTTACAATATTTAATCTTTTATTCTGGATCTTAAGATAGACAATAGATTCAGCTTGTTTCTAACAATTATTGTCAAAGCACCATAAAATTTCATTCACTTCATTCTTTATGTAACTCAAAATACATTTTCATTCCTGTCGCTATTAAGTTTTTCTTTTGTCCTTAGCCTTTATTTGTCTATTTCAAAGTTTGTAGTGTTTTGGGTTTTTGGTTTTGTCGAATTATTTGGATTGTCTTTGTTAGCAAAATGTGATTATAAGAATCTATAGGGACAGTTTATAGTCCCATTTCTTTACTAAATAAAACTTATTTTTAATAAATCTGCATGTATCGTATAGTGTATATGTCTACTCTTTCAGCTTTAGTAATTCCCCTTTCATGTTCACTTGACCTCACCTCGGCAACACGGAGAGCCAACGAGATACACCCTGGATTTATCTGGCGACGCAATGGCCAGCTCTCGTGGACTGGCAGGAGTAGGGATAGCACTAAACATGAGGGCTGAACAAGTACTGTTAGAGTGGATCCCCGCTAACAGTCGTTTATGTGCTGTTCGGCTAAACGGCTCCGTGAGAGCTCGGAAAGATAGGGACACACGTCGTTGCCTTTTTGTCGTTTCTGCCTACACTCCCACCGACTGCAGCTCAGATGAAGTGAAAGATGAATTTTACAGAAAGCTTCATCATAGACCTATTGATGGAAATTACATTCTCGTCTACTGAATTCTCGGGTATTGATCTCGTTCCGGGAGGTTCACTTATCGACTTAGAATACGCAGATGATATAGTCCTGTTTGGTGAAGACGCTGATAAAATGCAGAGTATTTTGGTAGCACTAAGCAACAATGGCAGAATGTTTCGTATGTGCTTCTCTCCCTCTAAATGCAAGCTGCTGCTTCAGGACTGGCCTGCGTTAACACCTGAACTAAGGATAGGGAGTGAAGTAGTCGAACGCGTTGACAACTTCACTTATCTTGGAAGTCTGATCAGCCCTAATGGGTTGGTGTCTGACGAAATCTCAGCACGGATTCGAAAAGCTCGCTTGGCTTTTGCCAACCTACTTCACCTATGGCGAAGGCGAGATATCCGTCTATCAATTGAGGGACGAGTATACTGCGCGGCAGTCCGTTCTGTTTTAATTTACGGCAGCGAAACATGGCCATTGAGATTAGAAGACACTCGTAAGCTACTAGTATTTGACCACAGATGCCTTAGAAATATTGCTGGCGTCTGCTGGTATCAACGGATTGGTAATAGTGAGGTTAGACGCAGGGTATTAGGGAATGATGGTAAATCAGTTGATGAGGTTGTGAATTTTCATCGACTGAGATGGTTGGGCCACGTGTTACGTATGCCCAAACACCGATTAGCACGACGTGCAATGCTAACCGGCTAGGGTTTGTATTATTTGAATGTTACCCTTAGGACTTGAGACGCTTGAAATAAAATTAAGATGTAGTTATCGCTTGGACCTGTAATTCATTTTTGACACGAATTAAATCTTGTTTTCCATGCTGTGAAACCTGAAAGTATTGTGTTTAATACTATTTAATAGCGAGGGCTCTTCCTGCCTGTAAATTCTAAGTTTATATAGAATTGTAGTTTTGTGGTTTATTAGTTCTTATCGGTTCTCCAACCTTTTTCTGTTCTTTACGAAAATCACCTTCAAATCACATACAACATCCATAAAATCACCTATGCAATTAAAATGAGCCTAATAAAAAGGTAATATTTCATATATTTTAATGTATTACTCGAATTTCTTATAGTTTCTTATTTATTGCTTTACTTAAATAAACAAGTTAAACCACCTGTCATTGAATTCATGTTTTGTTTATTTGTTCTTTAATATCATTTTTGGATATTTTTTATTTCCAATGATTCTTATGCAGTGTATTAGATGTTTTCAATCAATATGATTACTCAGCTAGTTATCTCACTGATGTTTGTTGTTCAACACGCTTTCTCTGTCCTTATTTATTTGCTATATGGAACAATGCTTGTATAAATTATCATATGATTTTCAATTTCGGTTATCTTGTCTACTGACCAATGTATCTTTCTTTCTCTTGTTTTTTCCTTATATTTCTTTATAAAAAAACATAATTCTATTAGTCAGATTATTCAGTATGATACATTTTATTCATTGTAATTACCTTAAATTATTTAGTATTTATTTCTTTATGGACATGTGGTTTTCAGTTTAATTATTACATGTTGAGTGATTGTGTTAATCCAGAGTTCACATGAAATTCCTAACTATTAGAAATTCAAGAATATTAGTCACTTGATTTTAGACTTCAGTCCCGTCATTGTTAACGAATTAGTGACGTTAATTGGAATCATTAATGAGTAAAAATTAACCGAGATTTTGCAAAATTAGTACAGATCTGGAATTGGTTCCCTCTGAATAATATCCGAATATTTTGCATTGTTCATTGAAATTGAAGGGGTATACCATTAGCGAATTCTAAGCTAACAGAAATAACACTCTTCACTATGGAGAGTTACGACTCACCAACTCAGCATAGTTGCATATTACGTCATAAACTATCCGTTTCTCTTAACCATTCTTACTAATTTCAAACAATGGTCTTCATATTAACGCCCGACATTATGTAGACTATCTGTAAACCAATTAAACGGGTTATTTATTCGACATATAAAAGTAAAAACTTCTCAGCGTTATATGTCGATACATATTTTATGAACATGTGAACAATTGTTTCAAACAAGATTATCAACCATCCGGAAAAGTCGAACTCAACAACTGTACCTGCTAACAACAAATGTTTTGACCCGTTTCTCTTTAAAAAAATCCATTCGTTCAGAGGTTTAGAATTATATATAATTTGAAATTTCTGTTTTCTATACAGGTATAAATTAATAATTACAGGAAATCTTAATACAGTGGTTGTTTGTTTTTGAAGAAAATGAATATTTATATCTTCCAATGTTTCATTTGTCTGGTTGATAAAATACATAACTTAGAGCTACAATTTTATTTATTCCTCTGTTGTTTATTGTATGCTTGCGATTTGTTACCAGCTGGTATGTATCGATTTGAATACACTGATATTTAAATCACGTTTTTGTTACTTGGATCGTTACAAATTAGTTGTTCCTGTTTTTAAATTATCTCAATATATTCTTGATATGAAGGAGTTAATCTCTCATATTAAGTGCATCAGTTAATAGTTACCATGTTTTTACATTCCATGAATATATGATCATGGACAGATTGAACCAAAAAAGTAATAAATTGTAATCGAAAATAAAATGGATTAGTCTGTTTTCATATTCTTTACTTTCATATGGATAATTTTATTTCATTGCATATCTCAAAATTGTACACATTTAATACATTTTTGTTTTAACATGTACACTAAATTCGTTGGCTTTCAATTTGCCAGCAACAACTTTTTACCGTAGATCATCTGTCATAGTTTAGCTAGTCATTTGGTATCATTCATAACATCACATGAAAATCAACTGATCTGTTAAAGTTAATCTACCATTTATTCTCTAACTGCACTTTTATTCCTTTTTTACCAAAAAGTGATTATAGTAGACCAACTGAATAAAATTAGATTTTAGGCATTTCCTTCACTATAAGCTTATTCTCATCCCTAATTTTTAATATGATTTTATTCCCCTTTTGATTGATATAAGATAGAAAAAGCAGTTTCAGTTCATCTCGCTCCCGTCTATGCTTGGTGGGCGGCCTATGCTCCTCCATAAGAGTTAAAAGGCGTAAGGCCATTTATTCGTTAGGCTCTCTTTCCAGCCATCTATCGAACAATCTTCATTTGTTATGACGTCTCTCTTTATGAAACACGTATTCTGTTCTTTTTTCTTCACCAAGAATTATTCCATCTTATTGCATATTCATCGATACTATTCGTCATTAAATTTACTTTGTTTCCTTTCAACGAAAAATTTTGGTCTTCAGACAGTACGGTCAGTTCCTATGGATGTTTTTTACCCCATGCCACAAAAATGACTTAAAATGATTATGTCCTTGGTAGATTATTTATCAAAGACGAGATTTTTTGTATATTGTTATCGATATAAACTCTTGTTATTTGATTGTGAAAGTGTAGTCGTGAATTTATCTGCCCCTTCTTTTTGATATACTATCATAGAAAGCATTGTGTAGCTCAGAAGTTTGTGTCTTTGCTATTGATTATACTTTAGATGTCAGACCTTTCTTACTATTTCATTCCGAAAAATAACCATGTAATGCTCAAAATATAGTGTCATGTTGACACGTTTCTATAACACAATCTCGTCACTTTTTCATCTTCCTGAAATGCTCAACACATGTATTGCAAACTTGATTTCACTAATTCCTCTTTTCTTTACGTATCCTAACTTCAGTAAAAGCTAGGTAAATAATTCATTCATTAGCTTGAATTCTTGCACATAATCGTTGAACTTCAACGTTTACCTGTTACTTTCATTTCTTGTAAGATAGAACATTACTTTGAAGTACATTATTTGGTTTTGACATATAATCCTAACTGTTACTTACACGTTGTTGTCTTTTTTAATAGCTGCTTTATTGAATGCTGAGACTAATAAATTACTTCAATTACAACAAGCTAAACTAATAGCTCAACATCAAGTTGGTTTGGTGGAACAACAATTACGTCAGCAACAGCAGCAACAACAACAACAGCAACAACTTCTAGCTGCTGCTGTGGCTGCCAACAGTTTAATGCAAAATCCCACAGTAAATGGTCATACTCTATCAAATGGATCATATCTTCAAGGTTTCGGTACATATGGTCGTACATCACGGCCTGGTTCGACCATCCCACCTTCTATGCAGTCATATTTATCCCCAGGAAATTTATTAGCTGTTCAGCAGCAACAGCAATTAGAAGCAAATCAATTATTATTATTAAACGATGCAAATGTACAAATGTCGACATTGAATTTTACGGGCTCTCCATCTGTGAATCTATTGAATTCAGAATTAAATGAAGCAGCCAGTATAAGCAAATCATCCGCAGACTGTGGTGGTGGAGGTGGAGGATCAGGTTCAGTGGTTTATGAAAACTCCTACAGCTCATTCAATAAGTAAGCTTCGTACTATTAATTTCTTTTTTTATTTCGAAGTATTCTTATTTAAATTAATATATATTTGCTATAAGAACTATTAATGTTTATCTACATTCCCTGTTACACTCTCTAGGAATCGAATAATGTTAACTTACACATGCGCACTCACAATTCATTCATTTATCTTCACAGTCTGAACTTTTCACATGATTCACATATAACTGTTATCCTACTTACTAAAGTCAACATCTGAATATGATTGGATAAGCACAGCATAGATTTGGTTTGATAGTTAAACACTATAAACACTATACGTTTCTCTGATAATTTTGATTTTGATTATGATCCTGAAGAAGTCCAGATAAGTTTTTTGGACGAAACATTGTAATTACTTAAATTTCAGCCGCCGAGATTATTTCAAACATAATCACACATAATGTCTTCTCTATACTCGGCGTTCAATTTCTGTCAAACTATTTGTTCTAATATTGACGAATATTCGTATAATGTTCCTTTTATTTGTTTAATAGTAAATATTGTTATTTCTCTCAAAACATTCTCAATGCATCATGAAGTTTCATTCATAAGGATGAGATATATTTTGTTGTTTTATTGTGAAATACCTTGTGGTTAGGAGGGCTTGTTTTCCAGCCATTAGGTCCTGGGTCCGAACCCCACTCTACCTACGTCTGTTTGAACAGTCGAATAGTGTCATTGCTCCATGTACTTATTGTAGCCCATATCCGAGTTCTAGTGAATGAGTCAATTTATTTTTATATTTTACTTCTTGATAGAACTCATAAGCTCGATAATAAAACTCTACTGTCATAAAAGCCACTGTCGGAGCTTACTGCAAATCTTTTTGCCTTGGAAGAATTCCATTATTACCAAATCTATATATTTTTGTTAGTTACATCAGCTGAATAAACTATGCAGTCTGAAAACTGCTCGTTCTATCCCAATTTTAAGCTTCATCAGGTCTTCTTCTGATCAGCTCAAAATGTAAGATTACTTAAAACCTTTATCCTTAATTGTTAGATATTACCAATCCTATGTGGTAATTCGTTTTCTTATTATGACATTTTAGTTCTTTATTTGATCATGGGTACTATTGAAGATGTTCATATCAAAACAATAAATATGTGGACAACCTGGAAGCACTAAACGGCCTTTCACCTTAGCATGGGACTCAGCTGTTCTCCGTCCAGTGCTTCCAAGTTTTCAATGGTTGCCTAATTTACATCGGATCATCATTTCAATAAAATTCAATCATCTCCACAACCTTACACTCAAAATTCTTCACAGTATCTAATCTTGAAGACCCTGTCTATGTTTAATTGCACGTAATACAGTTTTTGTCCCTTTATAGATGTAGTTATTGATCCATATGATGCAACTTAAGAATTCGTCGTGCATTTATGTTTTAAACTGTGAATCACATCTGTTGTCTAATATCCAATGACACTTTCCGACTACTCATCCCCAATTGGAATAGGTTTCAATCCACTGCGTTGTGGATCAGGGTTGATCGCCTTCATTGCTGAGACACATTTTGCAGTATTGTTGTATTTCCAGTTAAATTAATTAGACTCGGAAAACTTGACACCTTTTCAGTACCTACCCCTAGGTTGTATTATTAATCTTTTATTGGATCAAAGTTGTTGTTTTCTAACTATTTGTTTTACTTCATTTTCGATGAGGAATAGAAATCCCATCAGGGTAATTCATTATAAAGATCTCCAGGGGTCAATAGCAAGATACCGGTTATATTTATTTATCTGTATTTCCTATAAAATGAACTGTCTCTATTTTATATTGGTCTGATTCTATCAAAACTGTATACTGTGGTTAGGTAAACATGGAGAAAGGTTCGTGATTTGAAAAATAAATCCTAATAATGACCCATCAATCCTCTCATTATATATTGTAAATTACCAGTATCACCTACCCAAGAAAGTAATAATGGTAGATTTATATTTATCTGTAGAAAAGGTAACTGATTTAACTATATTTAAATTTTACCTGTTAATGTTGTTTGTTTTTTTAAATTCTCAATATGGTATACGACTAAGTCAATAAAATAAGTGAGCTTTGCTGAAACATTTTTTGTATTTCAAACTAATAAGTTATAATGTTGTTCATCAGCGATAAGTAGCATAAGTTTAACTGAATTAAATACTGGTTCTTCACGAAAACAGTTATCTAATGCTAATCTAACTGAAGGAAATTTCAACTTAGTGAATAAGTTATCTTTCCTTAAATACTACTGAATACATACATTACTAAGCTTATTCTGAGTAAAGTTATCAATGTATTATTTTCTTTTTATGGTCCCAGTGTCAGAGTATAATCACTTAGCGACATAATAATGATAACTTTTACAATTAAACAAAAAGAAATAACTTAATCCGGTTATTAAAATGTGGCACAGAATTTTTAAAAAAATCAAAATCTTATTTAAATGTACTGTTGTACATTTTTTAAACTGATATCTCACTGATATATTAGTCATTAATTTCGGTGAGACTTCATATGAGAAATGACTTAACATTGAATATGAATAGCCAACAAATTTTAATCGCTCCATTTCTATATATACTTATTTATAGTTTTGTTAGATCAATCCTGATCACCCTGTAGCATTGTTTTTATTCTAATTCTACCGATCATATTTAGCAAAATAATTGAATTGCGCACTGTATTATTAACCTTAATTTGTTCATATTTCATATGAATAATGCTAAACACTATAATTAAACATTTACTCGTTGTGTCATTTTTAATGAAGCTGTAATATCAAAATTGTTCAATGACAAACATTGATGATAATATTAATGATGGTAATAATGGCTAAACTGTTGGCAGTAATGACCGTATTATGTATTGGTATATGATTGTTAGCTATCATTGTTTTCATATATATATATATATATATTGATTAGTCCTGTCACGATAATTATCTATGTTTTATGCTGAACGTATAAACTAGGTTACCAACATTATTCTTATAACATTCCTGACAGTTACATAATCATATATTCAATCACTAATAATAACTAATCGAGAAGTCAGTGACAGTTGGTAGGTACCGAGAAATTTAGTTTTAAAAAGTGCCCTGAGGTGAATATCCTTTCCTCAGGCTGAGACTAAAGCCAGAGGTTTCTTGCGTATCTACCCATAAACACAATCAGCATATTTACATTTTTAATTATCTTAGCCATCTGCCACACTTTAAATTTAATATGAATATTCATAAAAAAATAAATACTACTAAATACAAAATCATATTAGATACGTCAGGTAATGTAGGCACAAATTATATTTCTCGTGTTGTTGTATTGCCGTAAATTCATATGCACAATTCTACATAGTATATTCCGGCAATCACTTTCAACTACCTTTGTCGTTAAATGGAATTGAAGAGTAGTGAGACTAAGGTCAGTAATTAGCTGGTAGAAGCAAAAGTTACGGTAATAAAAACGATGGTTTATACGACAATTGTAAGCGAAACAAATTGAAAAGATAATAGCAATTACATACATATAAATATATCTTGAAAATAATAGTTACAGAATTCATGCCAGTTTACATGTATGATTAGTTTGATATAGATAGTAGAGGACAGATATGTGATATTAGTTTTTTGAAGTGTCCTCGTTCAAAAATTCATTAGGTAGTACATTTTTCATATGTTTTGTATCAATGAAAGGCGTCATCCAGGACCTTTTTATTCTTTTTAAATGAACATCTCATTGATGTATGGATGGTGTATTTAAAGTCATTTTCTGCACCATAACGACTAGAGAAAATAAAACAGAAGCAGAGAGCACAGAACAACAAAAGCAATAACTACTACGATAGATCAGTGTGGTCTACTATAATACGTGTGCCAGGTTATTTTATGATATACTATTCGTGTTAGAATTTATTCAAATTATTTAAGGTTGTCAGGCACGGTATTAGTGTAAAGTAAAAGTATGTAGTTAGGTGTACTTAGTGGGTTCAGTAATAAAAACGATTAAACGTTCAAAGTTCCTATAATCTCACTTGAGGAATAAGATATATTTACAGGTGTTATTTATTTATTTATTTAAACACATAGATATTATTACAAGGAGGCACAAAATACATATGCGCCACACAAATCTCATTTGATTTGTGTGAGGGCTGTGACACTGCCCGGGTGCCCGAACCGAAGCAGGTGGTTTTCTGAGGGGGCCACACTTGAAGCCCTTGACCTAAATGTCTAATCCACAAGGCAGTGGAGCAACGTAAGGACATGCAGTCCCATGGTAGCCGGTGACCAACGATTGGTTCCTAGGCCGTTTGTTCCTTCAGGATACTGGAGCCCATGTGCACCATTGGTTCGGAATCATGGTTTTCCAACTTCCCTAAGTATACTCTCCTTGTCCACCAACCCGGTTAATGTGCCGGACATTCGTTTTTCGTCCTCTCAATTTCGTAAACATCACCCCCGCCACGAGAAGGCAGTGAGTAGGACTTCCCTGGCAGAGGATATATTGACATGGTCATGTGAGAGCGTTTGGAGAGGGAGAGCGGACTCTCCCCATTCTCGGCCGTACCAGGGCATTCGGGGGCATTTACAGGTGTAAGAACAGTAAAGTCATTTTCAGAGGAGACGTAAGCATCGATACAACAAACAAGGGATCACAGTGATTTTATCTTACGGATAGATTGAGGTAAATAATTCCAGAGTCTGGAATATTTACTTGTAAAGTAATTCATATAGAGATTTACAATGTATGATTTGATTCGGTATATGACATGATTTGTTATAGTTGAATACTTAATAGCTAAACCATCTGTGATATAGCTATCATTGTTTGACTATTATCTGTATGTCTGTATGATGGTCGAAGCTGTGAAGAGAATTGTATTACAGTAGATTGACGACTTATACTCAAAACTATTAAATAATTATTAAAATGATATTGAGTTATTCTTACTAGCCAGTTAACTTTCGTAAGCCGTTACTTTTATGGAATTCATTTGTGGTC